CTCAGCCACCAAGATGCAAATGTCACAGAAGGTAGCAGACATCATCTGCCTTTCTTTTTCTTCTTCTAAAGTAGTTTTTGAAAGCCCTTCTCACTCTTGTCTTCTGGTGGAATCTCTCATTCATTTCCCATCAAATGATATTACTATTTTACAGCTGTGTTGTATTGCGAGGTGATGAGCACTGCTCTGTGGATTCAAATATACAGGGAAAAAATAACAGCCCAGCCTGGATTTTATGTTGTTTATGCAAAACAGAGAAGAAAGTTGGTAAAAGCACTTTAGGTCCTAGTATCCACTAAAGAAGGGCAATAGCCTGGGTGTCGTAGTTGGCATTGCTGTAGGCTGGGACAGGGCTGGGGTTCATTTCTCACTGGTGGCACCACAAGCCTTCTGCAGCAATTTGTCTGGTAAACAGCAATTGAAGCAGGTGCCCTTAAGGATATGTTGTTCATCCACACTTCTAATGTGTCCCAAGAAACTGGTGACATTCAGGCTCCCAGTGGCAGAAAATTCCCCTGACAGTTGCATGGATATCACTGGGGAGTGAGAACAGAGGGGAAGTGGCATTGAGATAAAATTGATTAAAATAAAAATGAACTAGAGAAGGTGGGAGGGACACAAATGTATGAGACAATGAAATGAGAAACACAAAAACCCCAAAGCACCCCAAATTTGGACAGCTTTTATTTTCAAGCCTCATTATCTGGGTTTAATTACAACCTTTCTGGCAAAGCCATGCTGAGGGCAGCCTGCACTGGCACCCCTGCCTGGGAACACCGCTGAAGCCAAGAGCAAGGACCTGCATCATTAAGGGCATTCCCACATAACTGAATTAAATACGCTCACAGAAATGACAGGACCCAAACATTCCCACCCTTCAGGCAATGAGAAAGCTTTGCCTCTTCGCTATTACAGGCCGATGACAACAGGAGGGAGTAATTTACGGCTCTCTGGGACTGCTCGATATGCTCCTCATCCCCAGGCTCATCCCTCACATTCCCACCACCGCACAAAGGCTGCAGCCAGGCAGCGGTGCCCAGGGGACACTGCGCTGTCACACACAGTCAGGAGATGAGCAGCGAGCAGGATCCCTTTCTCCTCCTAGCCCTTTTCTTCCTCTCTGGTCCTCCTGCCTCTCCTTTTGCCTTATTTCTTCCTCCCTGTTCTTTTATTTCAGTATCCATCCAAAAATTGGTGCTGGGGGAGCTGGGGTTACTCAGTGGGGCTGGACGGCACAAGATAAGGATGCTCCAAGACCTTGGGGTCCAAGGAGTGGGGACCTGCACCACTGATGGGGATGCAGGAAACCTCCCGTGGGGGGTCCAGCAGGCACTTTCAAACTCATCCCCCCGGTAGACGTTCCTTTTCCCCTGCTCTCGGAGCTATTTTCGGCTGCCCCGGTGACCTTTCCGGGGAACAATTTACTATTGTGTTTTGGTGAAGCCCAGCCTCTATTTTTACACTCTGTTTTGCTGATGCGGGCACAGGGAGCGAGACGGGAATCCAGCAGGAAATGGGAGGGAGCGTCTGGATCACGGCTAAACCACTTTGATGTGCAGGGGCTGAGCCCGGTCAGCAGCACGTGGTGGGGCCAAGGGCTTCGCTCCTTGCCCATCCCTCCAGTAAATCCTGCATGGCACCAGCTTAACCCTGCTGTGCCAAGGTGGGGATGGGTCCTGCAGCAAAGGGCTGTTGGCAGAGGCCAGCAAAGCCACAGTGGTATCGTGTTCCTCGGTGTGCGCACCCTGCGAAGTGAAAGGCAGGCTGCTGCTGGCATTGTGTTGCTAAAGGGTTGCTGGAAACAAGGGGAGGAGGTGACTTGCTGACTGAGCTGGGAGAGGTTTGGGGACTTGCCCAGGGGCGTCCGGGAAAGCCCTGGCAAAGCATCCTGGGTTGCATCAGGTGAAGGGAGCAGATTGACAGCAGGAGGTGGCAGGTCTTTGTGTGAGGTGCTGTAAGTGGTTCTTCCTCATGTGGGACCCTGAGCTGGGCTTAAGGGGCCAAAACAGTGCCAAGCATCACAGCCTAGAGTGGCTGTGCACATGCCCTGTGCACGCTGTGTCTGTGGCAGGGAACACCAGCCCCTTTGACTGCAGAGGTATTGCTGGCCATGCCTCAGTGAAGGGACTAGGATTGCTTCCATCACCATCACTGTCTGCAGCACAGCCCTTGGGACAAGAATAGCATCCTACCTCCCCAAGGCTTGCCCACAGGCACCAAATCCAGAGGCAAGGTCCTCCTGCATGTCTTAAGGGTCTCAACCACTGCCCAAGCAATGCTGCCTGGGAGGGCATGCAAGCAAGGAGCTGCTTTACAGCAGCTGTCCCATCTCCAAAGCACTTCACTTGCACTCCAGCAGTGACACGTCCCTTCACAGGCTGCTGGAGCTGAAATAAAACACATCAACACCCGTCCAGTCGTGTTTCTTGCAACCATCCAGCAATGCAGCATCACTTCTCTGAGCACCCGGCCTACTCCATGCCTGGGAATGGTGTTGAAATGGGAGCTGGGGGTAGCCTGAGGGTGGCTGGAGCCACTTAGCAACATGTCACTGCGGGTGTTGGGACCGGGAAGCATGTGTGCACAAGGAGTCGCAGACATTCTCCCACCCCACAAATACCTGTCCATGCCCATGACAGTCAAATGTGCACACTGGCTTGCTCACAAATGCATGGTCCATGCGTTCTCACATGTGGGATGCTGCATGAACACGTTCACAACTCATTTTTGTACATCTCAGATCTGTGGGCACATCTATGGATGTGCCGCTGAGGACATAGTCCTAAACACACATATCTGGATGGAAGTGAGCACACAGTCCTGCGTGTGTCTTCAAGCCACCCAAGCCCATGATGTGCTCACACATACGTGTCCCCAGCACCTTGCATGCTGCCTGCAGGTGGTCCTCATCGTAGAAAACACCAGGGCGGTTTTGCTTTTGGTTGCATCAGCAGGAATCACTCCCCAGCTGCTCCCTGCCTTATCCTAGCAAACTCTTGAGCTGCCTTTTCCCTTCTTCTATGTCAGAGAACACCAGCCCACCCCGGATGCTTTTCCTAGGGTGTTTTCTAAGGTGACAGAAGCTTGCCCAGCGTGCCAGAGGCGACAGCCGTTGCTCCTATCTCGGCAGGCATCGGGCGGGAGGGCTGCCTGTCCTGTTCCATGGGGCCACCCTCCAGCTGCCCCGCTCTATCTGCCTGGATGCAGGTGCTGGGGATAAGCTCCCACAACCACCCCCAGCAGCAGCCCTGGGGCAGGGCTGGCAGAAGGGTGCTGTGAGCAGAAGCAAGTGTTGTCCCCTCCAAAGGTGACGCTGCCCCAACATCAACACTGCCTTGCCGCTTGGGTCTGCCTCCCGCAGGACCCCACAACCGATGCGTTCACAGTGCCGCTGCCCAACGGGGCCCCCGGCGGGACGGTCCCACACGCGGCGGCCTCCCCACCCCGAGCCCCACCACTGGCCCCAGCGGCCGCGGGCACTCCCGAAGCAGCCGCCTCCGGGCCAGCGCCTGCTTTGAGCGGGTCTGGGGGAGCCCCTTGTCGCCGATAAGCGACAGATCAAAGCCGACCGCAGCACCAGCGCTTCCTGCCGGCGCGGAGCAGGCGGAGCCGGAGCCGGCGGGGCCCGATCCCCGCCCGCTGTCCCCCCCTCGGCCACAGTACCCCCCGAGGCCGCCAGAGGGCGCACCGCGGCCCCCACGAGTGCGGCCCCGAGGTGGGGTGAGGAAATGGGATTTGGTAAGAGGGTTCAGTGTGTTCTTGGGGCTTCACAAATGATGTATGTTAAAGGCTGGCCTTTCCCCCCTTCTTTTCTCTTTTCCCTTTTTTGTTTTTCCTCTTCCCTCTTCCCTTTTCCCTTCCCTTCCTCATATCCATACCCTTTCTCCCTTTCTCCCACTCCATTCCCACTCTTCCCCCTACACTGATCAGCCCTCCAGGTCTTCATGGAGTTACCATAGACCTAATCATTATGTTAACATCTCTCTGTTTGAACACCACAGCTATTTTCCTGCAGAGTTTGGTACTTGTGGGTGGGAAGGCACAGAGAATGCTCAGGACAGCTGGTGCTCCCCCAGCTCAGTCAGGCCCTGGACATCTCAGTGCTGCCCCATATATCCCTGTTCCCCAGTGCATGGAGGCAATGGGCTCTGTGCCTGTGGTCACTGGCTCCCTGTTTGCTCTGCCAGGGGAGCACAGGCTGCTGAATCCCCCAGGACCTCGGCAGGGGTGAGGTGACTCTGTGAAGTCTCACTCTTCCTGGTGGGAATGCTGGTGGCTGTGCCGATGCACTGCTATTTACTGAGTTTTGATTAATAGCCACTCCTGGAAACAGCCTCTTCTCCCCAGTCCCAGGCAAATGCATCTCTCAGGGGTCTTCACCTTTTGTCCTCAAAACCTATTCAGGGCTGGATTTGAGGGCAGCCTGATCTCAGCTGCTGTGGCACAATGGCACAGCTCAATGTTGCTCAGCCCTTTCCTATCCATGTCATCCCTCCCACAGGAGCCCTGGCTCCCTCACCTCATCTCACAGCACTTGCTTGGCTGCTGCAGCATCCTGCTAGGGCCAGCAGCCTCCAAGGCTTCAGGAATGGGTTAAAGCTCCTAAAAAGCTTCCCCAACTCCAATGTGCCCCGAGAAATGCCTCTTTCACCCTTTGGACTCGCATGAAATCCCTCTGGCCTTTCACGTCCCTCCCACCCCCTTCCCAAACAACAGAATCCACTGCTCAGAGCAGAAGATGACGTGATTTTCCCCATCTCCTCTATTACCTGCATCTGTTTGCTTGGGTGGCAGCCAGAAAAGTGACTTCATACATTGAATTTCCCTCCCCCTTCCCCCTTTATTTTTCATTTCATTTTAAATCCAGCCCAATGCTCTCGCATGTTGCAGAATTGAGGGTGAAGCATCCAGGCCAGATCCTGCCCCTGTGTTATGGTAATCGCGGCTGCCACCCAGCAGATGCAGCTCACTGAAATAATAAGGCTGTTTAACAAGGCACAGAGGAGGAGAGGGGAGCTTTTGTTTGGCACTTGCTGGGGTTGGAGTACACTTGTAAAGCAACAACTGGAGCTCGTTGAAAAGAAGTGGAGGTTATGAGATGCGTTTTGCTCACTGCTGATGGCCCCGTTATTCTTTTCCCTTTGGATGCCAGGCAAAAGCTTTGGTGCTGAGAAGGAAGAGAGATGCCACCTGAAAATGTGCTGCTTTTGCTGATGAGCATGGAAATAAATAGGGTTGGTGCCCACTGGCATGATTCTGGTAGGTTGAACCCCACAGTGCGAGGATGCTCAGGCTGATCTCCTATATTGTGAGTGCTCCTTGCTCTGCCCAGGGCCCTTCCTTTAACCCAGTAAGGCTGTGGGGGCTGGAGGAAGGAAAACACCTTCTTCAGATGATGCTGAGCAGGTGGTTCCTACTGCAGTCAGGCTCTTCTCTACCCACTGGGGACCCAGAGGGTCATGCAGTGGTGTCCTTCTCATGGGGCATGGCCTTCTCTGATGCTTTTCTGCTCTCCAGGAGGCTGAGTCCTGCCTGTTGCAAGACACAAGGGCAAGCAGGACTCTAGGGAGCACTTAATCGTGCTTGGAGCTGTTGAAACACAGGGCTCACCTCCAGCAAAGGCGGTCCAGAATTTGTCAGGACTTGGAGGGCAATGGGATGCTGATGGGGATGAAAGAAATTCAAGTGACTGCAGGAGCTGGGGTGACATACACCCTCATCTTTGGGGGTTACAATCCCATTTTGAAATGCTGCAGTTTTGCACGGAGAATGACAGAAGGGAGGTCTGGGTGCCATGGGGTTTTTGTCTTCCCACAAGCAAGCAGGGACAAGAAACTTATTAGATAGGCTGGGAGTCTGTCCATCCATTCATCCCCTCTACTTAACTACCTACCCCTCTGTCTCAATGCATTTCTCTCCAGCCCTATCTTTGCTCTGACCCCACCCCCCCATCCTCCCAGCTATCCCCTTCAGAAGACAGGAATAGAATCAATATCTTCCCTCTCCAATTTAGGTAGCTCCCCATAAATCTTCCCAGCTTCAGTCTGGTCTCCTAGGACTCCCCGATCAGTTGGGAACCTATTTAATCAGCAGAGATGATCAGCGCTGTTTGCTGCCGAAAGGCCCTTTGAACTCTTTGTCTCTTCGTTGAATGATGCTCGTGTCCCCTGAGGATTTAGCCAGGCTGGCCCATTCCGTGTGACAAGTCTCAGGTTAATAACTCTGGGCCCTGGCAGCACCCACCAAAGCCCGGCTGCAAGCCCACGGTGCTGGGAACAGTCTCAGCCCCTCTGCCAAGCCCTTATCACTGCATCTTCCCGCGGCCCCTCTCTTGGCTCGCTGCAAAGCTCTGTAAAAACACACTGAATTGTAAGCCCAGCATGAAGAGCATGCAGCCTGGTGCCAGGGGAAGAGAATTATAGCTCCTTTTGAGGAGGCTCGGTAAGGGTTGGAGATGGGGTGTGAAATCCCAGCTCCCCGTCCTGGTGGTTCAGGCTTAGGTTTTAGTATGCTTTAGTGCATTTTAGGTTTTAGCTGGTTGGGAATCAGCCTCACGCTTGTACCTTTGCTCAAGGATGGTGGCTTCTGGAAGAGGTTTCCCTTGCCTGTCCAGCCCTTGGGAACAGAGTACTCAGCATTGCTCCAGGAAACAAATCTGGAGCTGCCTCAAATCATCAGGACTCCTTCCATTGGCTTGGACCAGTTTTCAGTCAGGGAAACACCTTCAATTTCCAGGTTTCTCCTCTAGGCTGTGTGGAAGTTATGCTGGAGGTGGCCTCTTCTTGCCTCCCCAACAGCCTCTGAGCAACCCAACCCAGTAAGAAACAGCCAAATCCTCACCCTGTCTTCATCCACCTCTGGCCCAAGGGGTAGGTGTTTCTCTTTCCATTGGCTTTTGCTCTCCATAAACCACAATTTAACATAGACCACAAGCAGAGCAAAGTAATCTAGGAGCACATTAGAGTGTTGGAAAACAATAATCCGAGAAGGAAACACATTATCTGGCCTTGTTACTTTACAAAGTAATTTAAATTAATTTTTCCCTAGAGTGGTTAGGGAGCACTGCAACTTGCCCTTGTCTATTCTCTCTGGCTAATGAAGCTTTACCAGCGACTGCTCGTGAATTCCTATTAAGACCTCATCTTAGAGGTTACAGGGCAAAGCAATTTCTGCTCCTGGGAAAGATGCCTATGAATTTGTAATTGTAAGTCCGTGTTTGATAGGGATTAGCATCTGAAAGGGGTAGAGTGGTGGGTAGCAGAGAAAACACTATTTCAATTAGCAGAAGAAAAGCAACTTAACATCTGATTATAGTTTACACTTTCAATTTTCTTCTATTCTGGCATCTGGGATAATTATTTCCTGAAACTGTCCACTCCCAACAAGCCAGCTAACTCTTTCCTGCTTCTTCTCTTGGCTGTCCTGTTTGAGATTCACATGGATATGGTTGAAGAGTTGGGTTTTTAGCTTTCCCTTCTCCTCCCAGGCAATAGGCAGACTTGCTGAATTCGAGCCTGAAGGGGAGGATGCTGTACCAAGCCAGACTGGAGTGAAACATGATGTTTCTCTTCACACCAAGGAGGTGTAGGATGAGGATGATGGGGCTTGTCTCATAGCCAAGCTCCTGGTCAGGCTTGTGGCAGGCAGCTTAACCTGGCACTGGTGCCTGACTCTGAGGCAAAGCCCCAGTGCCTAAATCTTGTCCCCGTGTTCAGAAATCATTTCCAATCCTCCCTCTTTTCCTCCCACCCCGTAAAGGTAAGTACCATTTGCCCTTCAAAACCTTGGCCCTTGCACTAACCTGTGCTCCAGCTACTTTAGTCTGGCTTCTTGGACTCCTATTTCCTAACGACAATGCAGTCGTTTCTTGGGTGGGAGATTCCTCGTGAGAAGGCTTGTTGTTATTTAAGGAAATCCATCCTTAATGAAGGGACAGGAGAAAACCCCTCCACTAAGTTACACTGAAGCCTGAGATTATCATTTTTATGGGCTTCCAATCTTTCCTGCCTCATGTCTTATCAGCAAATGCAGCTGGAGGCTTCAAAAACCCTCCCAGCTTGCTGCTGATTTTATGGGATGAAGATTAGAGATGATCGGATAGTAAATTATTCATTCCATTCGATAGCACCAGGCAGGAGGGAATATCCACAGCGAAGTCAGCTCCTTTCTCCCTTTCTGAGCATCACGTACTGGGATCCTGGTTATCTGCCACTCCAGCAATGCAGCAGCACTTTCCCCTGTGCTCAGAGATGATTAGGGGTGCAATACGCCTTCTGAACAGATGGGAAAGCCAAGGGGGAATCACGGATGCAGGCTTATTCCCCAGCAATAAGTCAGACCAGAGGCAGGTGGATTTTCTTCCTGTTCCAGGAATTTTTGGTTTGATTATGTTAAGGTCCTTTCCAACCCTACCTATTCTATGATTCTATGATTATTCCCAGCCCAGAACAAGGTGTGACAGATCAGGTAGGTCTTTTCTTAGCCTAATTTTCCAAGTTGCAGGGCCTGAGGCTAATGTGAACATGCTGTCAGCTCCATGGCAGCTATTGAAGCCAGGAGCAGAGGTGCTCAGAGGGGACAACTCCTAGCAGCTCTGTGCAAATGGGCAACTGGATAGAGGAGACAGCCCATTGCTGCCCTTAGATGTACAGAGTGGTAGCATCAGGTTCCAGCACAGACAGTGTCCGGTGTGAATGCTGCCCAGAGATCCATGCCAAAAACCAGCTGGTGTGAAAAGCATCATCCAGAGGGTCCCATGAAATACATACGGGCCACAGTGATGCTATTGAGCAGATCTTGAGGGACAATGAAGGGCATGCCTAGTGCCTGATGCTGATGCTCCATCTCAGATAGCTGCCGGGTACCAGCTCCCAGCAAGTGTCCTGCCAGGAGTGACCTTGGCTGACCCATCCAGGCTGCCTGGGAGGAGAAGGAGGTAATCCACATCCTCTCCTGATGAAGGTCCAGGAGGGATCATGGCAATCACCATGTCACCCTCTTTTCCCTGCTGCTTATTCAGGGCTTGCAATTAGCATCATTGCTGGGGGACTCATGTATGGTCTAATAAAATGTCCAATTAGAATGCCAAGAGATGTCTTTTTCTTGTCCCTGTGTGTGTGCAGGAGGGGAACAAATGGCTCAGTTGAACCCTGTGCTGACAGAGGGAGGATGGGGCTGGTGTGGGGTGATGCCCTAATGCCACACCATTGCAACCAGGGTTTTCATCAGCATGTAAATAACAAAATACATTGCTTTAAAAGCCTTTTTAAAGAAGGGAAGCAGGGCACAGAGCTGTGAAGGATGAAAAGCCTGAGCAGGGGCTGCCTTTTTCTGGTGCTGTTTATCCACATCTTGGCACACCAGGCCAAGAAAATGCCCTTTTCACAGCGGCTATAGCTCCTGGCTCTCCATCCCAGGCAGAATTTGAAAGCCAGTGTCAATACGAAATGAGGGAATTCTGGGCATGCAAAGAATATTTGGTTTTGATGGCAAATGTCAAACGAAACAAGCAATTAAAAATTGTGTTTGTGGTTGGGCTTGGTTTTTTGTTGTTTTCCCTTTTCTTTTGGGAGCAGCTATTGAAATGCAACAAATTCACCACTCTTTTTCCTTAGGAAAAATACAAAAGGGAATGTTCAGTCTTGCTCTCATATATATGCTTCATTTTTATGGCTCTTTCTGAGAGAGGGGGAGGAGATGGAGTGAAGGAAGGAGGGAAGGAAGGAGGAAGGAAGGAAGGAAGTGAAGGAGAAAGAAGAATAACCTCCATTAAAACACAGAGCCCTGCAATGTTTTTCGAAGAGGAACTGGCATCTCTACTGTGAGCTGTATCACCCAGGAACACATTTTAGGCTCAGGAATGTTGCTTTGAGCCAATGTTAATTTTGGCTAAAAATGACACATTTCTTGGGGGAAAAAAAATGCCAATTTTTGGAGGATATCAGTGTAAATCCTGAAATTGCAAGATCTGCTTTGTGCAAGACTTGTGGAGGCAACTGGTCGTGGGTCCCTGGGAGAGAACTGAGCTGCCTGTGGCTCCACTTGGGTTTGACTAAATGCTGCCAAGGAGATTTGCCCTCTGTGCCTCAGTTTCCTCCACCTCTAAAATGGACCTGTACGGCTTTGACTCACCACATCTGGGTGATTCTGAAGGCTTAGATGAGAGACATGGCAAGATTGCCAGCACGCTGCAGCAGAAACACAAAGCTTCTTATCCCCGCGGGTCCCAAACTGCAGCCAGAATGGCAAAAGCAGAAGGTGGATGGCAAATTATTTGCCAAAATTTCAGACTTTGCCCCTGAAACAAGGCTGCTGCCATTGCAGTGACTTGCTATTTCTCATCCCCCTCCTAGGCCAGACCCAGGGTATGCAAGCAGGCAAATGCCATGGTCACAAGAGCACATGCCTTCCTAATAGCTGCCGGGGGGCTAAAGAAGGTGCATTGAAGCACAGGGGAGCTTTGAGATAAGCAAAGGAGAAATTCTCTGTCTTCATCAGCAAGCCCAGACAATTAAATAATTACATTCCCATACATTTGGGGTAAAGGTGGGAATGTGCAACGGTAAAGAGATATTTGCTCCTCAGGAAGGAGCTCACAGCAAGACCCCTCTCTGGAAGGCACAGCATCCCTGACTCCATCTCAGGGTCTGGTCTGTCATGTCCTGTTCCCCCAGCACATGATAGGATACAAGTGGATCCTTAAGACATCCCTATCCTTGGAAAAATCAACCCAGGGTCCCTGGAGCAGGGCTGAGCAGAGCCCTGAGGTGAAAAGACAACCTGGGGTACGTGCAGAGGAGGACCAAAAGGGACCCTGTGAGCAACTTGCTGCAGCCCCAGGCATGACTGGGGTGTAGATAGCAATGGCAGAGAGATGCCTCAGACCTTGAATTTCCCAAGGGCAGCAGCAGGACTGCTCTAGGGCTTCTGATCTGCTGATAAAGCCTTCTGCTCCAAAAAGCTAGGTTTTTTGATGGCCTTTTGCTAAGAGACAAGCAACAAGCAGGCAGCAAAGAGTGCAAGCTCTGTGTGCTTTCCCAAAGAGATTATGTGGAAGCAAGTCAAAGGAACCCAAAGTTCACTCTTATTTTTATTTCTTTGCAAGCCATTCCTGTTTCTCTTTAACAAAATCACATTGCTTTTACAGGGCCTTATTATGGGCAGGTCCCTGTCATGCCACTTCCTTGAGGGGTGCAGTGAGAGAGTCTCTGTCTCAGGGAGTTCATAAACAAAACCTAGCAGTGTTGGGAATGGGATTATCCCATGTTGCAGGTGGGGATTTGGCCATGGAAAGGGATTTGGGAGAGAGCTGGGAACTGGCCTTCAGTGCATTTCGAACCAGCTCTGGCTTGTTTTTTAGGACAAATTACATTATTGTAGATCCAGGGGAAAGAGGAGGGATAAAGGAGGGCAATCCTGCACCCGTGGGTATGTATTCCTGAGGGTGCTGCATGTTCCTGACCATGGGTGTGTTCCAGGTGCCCATAGGGGAATACAAACACTCAGATGGGGTCTGAGGACAGGACCACCAGACCCAAAGCCTGGGAGCTCAGATGCTGCTGACAGGGATGCTCTGTGATGGCTTACAGAGATGCTACAACACAGCAAGAGAAGAGCGACCACTGGTTCACAGGTTTAACATTTCCTTCAGAAGTAAGTGAAGCTGTGTAGCTGTGAAGCCAATAGCTTGTATTCTTCCTGCAGGGTGGGTTTGTCAGCCATCCAAACCTGGCACAGGCTGGAAAGCTGCTTAACTCGGGACGTGCAACGTTCCCCATCCCACAGAATCGGTGCTGCTGATGTGAAGGGTCAGCTTTGCCATCTGCTGCAGGTCTTTGGGGGTTTCTGCCTCTTTTGATGTGAAAGAAATTTTGGGAACAGCCCTGAAGGCTCAATGAAATGAATGCTATGTTTAATCTGTTTAACAGTCTCTCCATTCAACAAGGCATGGGAGGCAACACTTGGCATCAAGTCTGGTTTATTAAATGGATGTTTTAAAGCTACAAATGTGTTTTGTTTGGTTATTAATGACACTTACTGAACAGGAAACAGCAAGGAAGAGAGTGGGAACTGTGCCGGGCAGCTCCCTGTACCCTCAGGACATGGGGTCCTGTGGGATGGGGAGGGATGTCAGAGCTGGGGCATTGCTGGACCCCTCTTCTGCTGCGGGGATGGAGGGCTTGGGGGACACCCAGGTCCTGTCCAGCCACATTCCCCAAGCGCTGGGGGAGAGATTTATCCATCTGGGCGTCACTTCTTCCTCCTGGGTGGATGCAAATATCTTGCACCTGAGTCCCCTTCCACGCCCTAAGGGGACTGTCACGTTCAAGTCACCGTGCCCCAGATTCCCCTTCTACGGGAGCCAGACAGAGGCACCTCCTTCCACCCCTTTTCCCCGCAGTCGGATTTGAATACCCAGGTGTGAGCATCGGCCTCCCTCGTTAATGCGTTTGATAATTGACCAAGCGCTCATCGCAGTGGGAGGGCGGCGTGCCCAAACGCAGGAGCGGCCGCGTTCCGCTGCTCCCTCCGAGAGCTCGAGGCCCTGCCTGCCGCCATGCCTGCCCGCTGCCTGCTCCTCATCCTCCTGGGGCTGCTCCCGGAGCCTGCCTGCTGCCAGCAAGGTGAGTGCAGGGGAACGGACCTCATGGGGAAACTGAGGCAGGAAGGTGTGCGGAGTCCCGGGAGGCGGGATGGCTCTGGGGACAAGGGACAACTGAGAAGGAGCCTCTTGGGAAGAGGAGAAACATCCCAGCTTTAGCTCTGGCTTCACATCAGCGGGAAATGGGGATGGGAGGGTGTTTGGTGGGTTAGGAGGTGCTGCCGGAGCTGGGGCAATGGAGACTTTCTACCTGTTTTGCCAAAGGCTGAAGCCGCTGTCTGAGGTTTATCTCACATGATTACGTGGAGACAAAGCAGCTTTGATTTACGGTGCACCAGGATGAGTAATCCGTTTTCTTCAGGCTCTTTTTGTCTCCTTTCTTACTTGTCCCCTTGTCCCTGGGTCGCTCCCTGAGCTCTCAGGTTTTCCTGTTAATCTGTAATTCTGATCATTGCCGAGGTGAGGGGGCAAATATTTTCCTTTGCAAACTGCCCTCCCGTTCCCTTCCTAAAGACTTAGAGAAACTTCCTATGGCCAGGGCATTACTTTTACAAAATCCATGGAAGGATTTGTCTAACGCCAGAAATAATGAGCTGTAATTAAAACTCATCCCGTGCTGCCAAAGTCCTGGAAAATTCCCTCCCCCTTTCTCCTCCTGATGTTCCAGCCCTGACCGCTCTTCCTGTGTTTGTTTACCGACTTGCTGAGGATTTAACAGTCTGGGGTCTCCGCTGTCAGCAGGATTGAACGTTTTGCTGTTGCCTCGAAAGAGGTGGGGGGGAAAAGCCTTTAATGAGGCTGCAGAGCCTGACACAGCTTCCTCAAGTGGATAACATGGGCTAGCAGATGCTTTCCAAGCACTCAGTATCAAAAAGCAGATCTATGTCTTCAAGCCAGCTGCTGAGGACAGAAATGGACTTGCAACACGGGCAAGGGCTTATACTGTCATCGGCACTTCCCTCGGTCTCATTTGTAGCTGCAGATGCGTGCACACACATCTGCCGGGGTTGCAGATCCCACGTTGCTTAATCTGGTTTAGGAGATCTTGTTTGGGCAGGAAAACCCTGTCATTACCATGGGGCAAAACAGAGAGGAGGTGGCAGAGCCCAAGGGACAGGCTGCACCAGGAGGAACATCTCTGGTAAAGCACTTTTCCAGGAGCACAGTCCCATTTCCACAGGTAAGACTCATCCTTTTGGCCATTCCTCCTGGCAGGGCAGCAAGGCATGCTCTGGTGGGGCTCCAGCCAGGCAGTGTCCCCCGGGGCTGTGATCCATATATTCACTCCCTGGATAGAAGATGCTATCAAGTTCTTGCCTCCTCCTCTGTTATGCCCATGGAAGTTCTCCATGTCCATGGGCAGAGACGTTTACTGTTTCCCCTGCTATCCTCATCTTCATTATCCATCATCTCCCCTTGCAACTGGTCTCTACAGGGTCTCTTAAAGCCAGAACCACTTGATTTTGGTTCGGTAATTCACCTTTTGGCTTTGGATGCTTGGAAATATGGCTGGAAACAGCTCCTGAGTGGGGTTTTGCTTGCACAAACATGGAGTACCTCCTGAGCCTGGCTGCCAGGAGGATGCTTCCTACCACTGATCTTCTCGCCTCCTTTGTTCAAAGATCATGAGATGCAAATTTGGCAATTTCAGTCATCGCTGACTTCATTCCCCGGTTGACCTTGAACTCCCTTAACCCAAGCAGAAACCTCACTGAATGCTGGACCTAGCCATCCCCTCCTAGGCTTAGGCTGGAAACTCTGGCTCCGGCAGGAAAAATTAACTGCAACTAACAAATAAATGTGGCTGAGATAACAGCCAAGGGCAGAGCGAGGGAGGAAGCAAAACAGGCCAAAGCTCAGCCTGGAGGCAATAGGTGTGTTGGGGCTGCACCCAGCCGATGGTGGGCAGCAGGGGCACAAGCATCCCTGCTTACGATGTATGGCAGGATGGGACCAAACCCTGCTCTTCATCACTGCCACCACCCCTTGTATGGCCACCAGCAGCCTGCTGGTATAATGGGATTTCATCCAAAACGCACTGATACAAGTGGGAATTTCCACCTGAGTTCCTCCTGCTGAGTTTTGGCCCCGGGACCTTGCAGTAAACATGGCAAGTGTCCCTGTGGGGAAGTGTTGGGGCTGAAGGATGCTGTTTGGTGCTACTCTTACAACCGCTTACCAGGGGTGCCACCACTTTCCGGACTGGCACAGGAGGTGAGTCAGCCTCAAGCTGATTGCATTTCCAAGAGGAGGAAGGAGCTTTTCTTTGTGGTGTTTTGGTTTGTTTTTATAAATGAAAGGCATTTGCAGTAAATGTTCCCCCCTCCCCAAAAGCAGAGGAAGATGAGGGCTGTCAGCAGTGGAGCTGGCTGCCTACAGGGACTTTTCACGTGCAGAGCACACAGCCCACCTTTATTGCTGCTAGTAAAGTTTATTAACTGTTTACAGCAGAGGTTTGTTTCATTTGTCTCCCATGAGACAGATGAAGTGTTCAGGTAGCGTAACGCTCCCATGTCAAGAATGAAGTACCAATGTGCTCAGCCTCATGGGTGCTGGTGTCAGGGTTGGGTCCATATGGTCCGAGGCTGATGCTGAGGCTGGCAGGTAGCATCTTCCACCTGCCTGCACGGAGTGACTTCATTTATGTGCAAGGGCTGGCGTTTCAGTCAGCAGAAAGAGGTAAAGCTGTGCCTGAATATATAGTATTGAAACCCCAAAGGGATGTGTGTGTGTGAACAAAGTCTCCTGATGTAATAGCACTTAAAGATGGGTTTGACTAAGTCTGAGTTCTCTGCTGCCCAAAAGCCAGTGGGAGGCAAGGCACAGTCATCCCAGCAAGGACTGGGACAAGGTTTCATCTTCTCATCCTTCTGTCCCCAAGTTCCTCACGCATCCAGGAATATGTTTTGCACCCTTCCCATCCATGGCTGGATTACTGCTTAGGTCTGGCTACAGAAAGAACCTGCTCTTCCATCCCAACCCAGGGGGGGCCAGGGATGCTGCAGCCAGCTCCTGGCCACCCGCTGCCTCCCCCTGCTGCAGCCTGGCCCCCCGCCAGCCCTGCCTGGCCTTTGCACTTGGAGGCTGTTGCTCTGAATGCTTCAGCCTTCAATTTCCCGTCATAAATCAGTTTGCTGCTCTGGAAACTTGTTGAATGGTGTGTTTTACTGAAATCCATGCTGGCAACCATTTGCTGGGAGAGTTTTGTGTTTTGCACTATCCCTGTCATGAGGTCCTTGTTTTATAGCAGGCAGTATTTGGAAAACAACCTGGGAATGACGTCTGTGGGATCTGGGGATGGAGAATAAAGCTTGCTGAAGTCCGTCTGCCTTCTTTCTCCTGCCACTTCGGGGAAACATCCTCCTTCCCTCCCTCCCTCCCTGTCCCCTAGCCCTTTGCATCCCCCATTGCAGAGTCATCTGCACCCCACTGCATACATATATGTATATATATACAAAGCTTCAAGGCACCATGCTCCACACACAAAGGCCAGCAAAACTGTTGTTTTCTGTTCAAATAACTGTTGTTATTTGTACTTTATTTCATTGCTATCACTCAGGTAAGTCTGCCTGGAGTAACAGCAACATGTTCTGTTCAGCTTTGCAGGACCAAGCTCTTGGCTGCACATTGCTGAAGCTGGGTGGAAGAAGCTTGGCAGATGAAGACTGAGGATGTATTTCTAACACATATTCTCCTTTTCCCTGCAGCACGGGGCAATCTCCAGCCATGGTTGCAGGGTGTCATTGCAGTGGTTGTGTTTCTAGTCCTGGTGGCCATCGCTTTCGTGGTCAATAAGTTCTGGTGTAAGGAGAAAGTGTAAGTGTGGGAGCCCTTTGGTTGGGTGTAGTTGCCTCTGCACAGGTCACTTCTATCTGCCTCCGTCCTCATGCCAGGGGTGGGAACACCGTGATCACTGCCCTGGGAGCTGGGTGGGGAGGGCAACGACTCCCTGTCCTGCTCTCTCTGTCCTTTTCTCCCTGTCCTGGCCTATGCTCTCTGTTACTCATTGCCAGGAGCAAGCTGTGTGAGAAAGATGCATGTTTTACATGGGCATGTGTGTCCTGGGGCAGGCCTGAGCCTGGTTTCCTATGGATCTGGGGGGGCAGTTCACAGCTGCCTTATATCCACAGGAAAACAAGCCCCCAGAAGCTTCATTTGCAAAGCAAACTGAGCCAAGTTTTTAGAAGGCACTCAGAGAAGCTGGGACAAGAGGGAGGTAGTCAAGTTGTGGCAGTGCTCTTCACCCAGAGCCCACAGCACAAATGAGGTGGCCTTGTTCATCAGAAAAAGGCTCTCTGGGACCAGCTACCTCTTTCCTGCTGCCAGCCAAGCAAAACCACTGCTTTGCTGCTGTTGCTGCTCCGCTGACCCAGGCTAAGCTGCAGCAACTTGGTCTTGAACCTGAGCCCAAAGTCAACAGGGGGGTGAAGTCCTGACCCCATAGCCAGGTTCCCAGTACCTCTGCCCCAGCACAGGCACTTTGGGCTTTGCAGCCAAAGGTGATGGAGTCTTCTTGTATCTGCACATCTCTGCAGTCTCCCCAGGCCAAGGAGGTGGGGACTTGGGGTGTATCCCAATGCTCAACAGGCTGGCTTCTGTCCCAGATGCATTTAAAGGGAGCCCTTTGAGATGCATTCAGGTCCAATGCAGAATGCAGTGTATGTACACATAAACACACACACTGCATTATGCACTGTATAGGTACAATTATGCATTATATGTACATATTCTACACATACATATATATACAAATTGCATTATATATAAATATACATTGAAAATATATATATATATATTTTTTTTTTTCCTATGGTCTGATTTGCAACTGCAGTCTTTTCCAAAGAAGAACTTTTGTCCCCAAAGTGGAGGAGTTCGCAGCCCATGAAGTTGGAGGCAGGGATAGTGGGATAGTGTTTCCTACCTCTGCCTGTGCCCAGCTGCCTCTTCCCAGCCCATAGGCAGAGGATGCTGAGGAGGGCTTGAGGGGGCACAGTGGCTCGTTTTAATTAACCTGGTCTCTTCAGAAGAGCTGACAGTGAGGCTCAGCAGCCTGGAGCACTGCCAGCTCCCTGCTGCCACTGTGACAGTCGCTATCAGCTCAAGGCCCTGCTTGTTTATGCCAGTCTGTTCCTAGGAAAAACCTCTGGAATCACCTTTGGGCAAGGGCTGAGGAGGCAGGGATGTGCACACGGGGTGGACCTGCGCCCACCCTCTGATCAACTGCCCCAGCACCATTTGGCTCGCTCCAGAGGTCAGCTTTTAGGCTCTGGCTGAGGTTAAACACCCAGTCCCTGCCCCGTGATTCCTTCTGTGAGCGATCCATAGTCGCATCTGAAAGAAGGCAGCTTGGCTTTGTATGCATGGGCGTGCACGTCCTCCCAGGCTGTGACACTGGCAGAACCTCAGCATTTCCCTCAGCTGGGGCCTGTCTGGGACTATTTTGCAACAGATTACATAGAAGAAGACTGGAAAAACCAGTTAGCGGGACAAAACAATCCTATGTATTGACAAATGAGGTTTGCTGACTGCTGGCCCAATGCTGGGCACCAGCTCCAGAGACAGGGGCTGGCACTCAGCATCCGGAATGGCCCCTGCAAACCTGCCGTGAGGACATCTCTCCTCGCCCATATCCTACTGGGAAAGGGGCTGAGCTGGGTGTTCAAGGCAGGATCAAGCATCCAGGTCCCTTATCCTCCTGTGTTGGAGCAGTCCCTTCCTCTCTTCCATCACCATTGTGAGCTGCTCCTGGGCACAGCCCCTCCATTGCTCTATCTCAGCTGCCCTCTTCTCTCCCTCCAGGGAAAACGTCGAGAGGGTGGTAAGCGTTGAGGACAAGCTGGATCCTGTCATGTCCAATGGCCACGAAGGGAAATACATAAGTGCTGCGGCTGACTTCAGGTGAACTTGCTCAGATGTCCTCCCCATGGCGCTCAGGCTCTGTTCCACCACCCCAGGGACAGCTCAGACGTGCAGAGCTATAGTCTCTCCCACTCAGGGTTTTGCGTGCTCCATTCACTTGACTTGGGGGGCTTTTATCCTCTCTAGGCACCAAGGAGAAGCCAGTGAGGGAGTATCCTCAGTCTCTCCTATTCCTGCAGCTTAGCCCCATGGCCCATCCACCACCATGAAACCTGCTACACTGCATTTTTCTTACCCTACATCATGCTTTTCAAACAGCAGAAACCACCAAAAGTGGCCACAGGTCACGATGCAGATGTTGACTGCCAAAATAGCCCGTACTAGAAATCACAGCAATTCCCACCCTGTGCTTGGCTCCCCTCCTGCCTTCCCACCTTACCCCTGCTCAATGCGTGGTCAGCACCAGCAAGGCTTCAGGGAGGCTGGTCTTGCTCCAGTGAGCTAAGTGCTGTTGCTTCTCCCTCCAACACAGGTCCAAAGAGAGCCAGCATGCCTACGAGAACAACGTGGAGCCTGAGGAGAGGGTGATCACCACTGCTATGTAGCATCTGCCCTGGCTGGCCATGCTCCTTCCTCCCCTCACTTTGCTTCCTGCTGTCGCGATGGGCATTTCGCAGGGACCCTCTGCACTGGCATCCCCCATACGTGTGTGTTGCTCCCAGCCTCTCCACAGCATCATCATCTCTTGATCTTTTCCCTTCCCACGCACAGAATGTGCTCTTCTGCCCTAGGGGCTGGTGTCCACATGGACATTGGTCCCTAGGAGAGGTCTGGGGTGCCACCTCTCCTGCTGGGCAGTCACCACACATGGTTAGTGACGTTGATGTCCCTGGTCCCAAAGGGGTACTGACCTGCTCCAGGCATGGAGAGGTCTTGCTGGGTGCCTGGGACCTCCCAGCTGCCCGCCAGGGAGCTGCTGATGCAAAACCTGCTCTCTTCTTCCCCTTTCACCGTCCTTTTTAGGGCCCTACTCCATGCATTTGAGTGTCAGAGCAAACCTTCTCCCCTGTACATATCTTCCCTGTGAACAATAAAGAGAATTGTTGCCCACAGGACAGCAAAGAGGGTCGTTTTGCTAATCATCCAAAGGACTTTCTGGCATCTCATCCAAAGGCATTCCCAGCCTTCAGGGCAGTTTGGGAAGGTAAGGACACTGGGGAAGGGGGTGTGAGGGAAGGTGGTGTGAGGGAAGGCATTGTTCTGGGGGTTGGAAGGATGCTTAGGGGTCAGCATCCACATCTTTGCCTATGATCCCTCCCGAGTAGGCTCCATCTCTTATTTCCTCACTTGGATGAAGCCAGGAGCAATTCTCTGTGTGTCTGTGCATCAGGAGGGAAGAGAAAAAAGTGGAACATTTTTCTTGCTCAGGATTTAGATCTCCCCAGAGCCACAAAGGGCCATACAGGGGGGGTGAGCATCATCCCCTCCACTTGCCAGGTGGGGAAACTGAGGCATGGCACCAATCCAGCACTTCCCAGTGCTGCTTAGCAGGTGAAAGCCAGTAATCCCTGACTCCCACCAGCCATAGGGCAGAGGCCTACAGCCATTCCTGGGGAGCATTCCCATAGCTGTGAATGGCAATCACTGCTGTTGCCAGGATGTGCCTGGGGACTGCTCTGGACAGTGCTGGTTCTCCCATGGGCTGCTGGACATGGTGCCACCTGCTCCTCCCAGGCTGTTCATTAACCAGGCTCCATGTTTTGCTGTGTGGGGACAGTGCTGAGGCCACCATGGGAGCAATGAGTGTTCCCATGCCACAATGTTTGCAGGTTGAAATGAAAGACCTTTAATGCCTTGGCCGTCCCTGAGACATCAGTGTGCAGAGTCTTCCCCTTGAACAACAAGGAAAAGGATAAGGAGCTTTGCAGTCAAGGGCAGTGCAGGGACTGCAGGTGGAGCAGGATTGGGATGGATGGGATGGAGGTTTATAAGAGGGGCGTTTTTGGCAGCCTCTGGGTTTGGGGGGGAACTGCGTGGTTTTGGGGCTGTGCAAACACAAAGGAGGAGGAGGTGGTGGCGGGAGCTACCTCTTGCTTTCACTTTCTCTTGAGTATTGAGGCATAGAGAGGTGTTAGACCTGCTCTGAAACAGCGGCTGTGATGGGTTTGGATCTGGGAGGAGCTGTGGCCTCTGTGCAGGGTGTGCTTTGCAGACCCATTTGCAGGCAGCAATGCCAGAAGCAGGCAGGGAGAGTGTTGGGGCTGAAAGTACCTCTTTGCCTCTCACTAGCACAGCTCCTGCTCTGTGGTTTTCCATCCTGAAGGAGCTTTCCTGCTGCAAGGGCTATTCTCTGCATTGCCAGTGACCTTAAAAGCCCAAGGCCGTGCTGAAGAAGGTGCTGCCCAGCATGGTGGAGGGAGCATGCTTCTTCCCTACACTTTCCACATGGTGCAGTAAAACACGCTGTTCAGCTACAGCGCTGAAACCTGATGGGTATTCCCTGAAGCGAAGACGCAGCAGTCCTGGTGGGGAGCTCAGGCCACTTCCCACTGCTGGGATCCCTCTGCGGTGGAACAGGGAGCTGGATCCTGGTGCTACCACTCACCAAGAGGTACTTATCACTTCCCACAGGGAAAGTTGTTGATGTCCCTAGTAGGTGGTGACACAAAAATTCAGGCATGAGGATAATCCAGGAGCCTTCCAGTAACAGACCCACCCTGGAAGGCATCTCCCCAAAGAACCTCATGTAGGCAAGCGTTTCGAAAGCACCCTCAAGCTCAGCATTGAGAAATCACAGCTCCAGTTGAGAAATTGCACGGGGGTAGAAGAAAACAGGCAGAAGGGTTGGAGGGGTCAAGGCACGGTGGCTGCCGTCCCCAGCATCGCATGAGAGCTTCTACCCTTCTACCACCTGCCCTTGGGGAGGCTGAGCCAGCCCCAGGCCGGGTCCTGGACCCCCCCACTTGTGCCCCTGATGGATGCTGCTCCCTGATTTTCCTCTCGCAGATGCCAATATGATGAGGGTTTGGAAAAAAACAAGCTCCTTAGAGTTCAGCTTCGCTCAGTAGGGTTTAAGGAGGATTAGTCATTGTTTGCTGCTGCTGCATCAGCACTCAGGCTGGGGGTGTGGCGAGAGGAGGGGAACCCATTAATTTTTACCTCTCGGTTGCAAAAGGAGTTAGAAACTGCATCCTTATAATGAGTAACAATGGGAGTTTATTCCCTGCCATGTGCACACCCTGAATGTGTAATGAATGTCTGGGCTGTTCCCCTGGATGTGGGTTTGGAGTGGAGGTGTGCTCAATGGGTCTCAGGGTCTCTTTTCCCAGTGGATCCCTTCCATAGTCATAGGTCCAAGCAAGGAGAAGGATGGGGCTTCATTGTGCCAGTGCCCCTTCAGAGTTCACTTTCTAGGGGACATCTTTTGCAAGAACCAGTGTGTTGTTCCATGGTGGGGTATCCCCTCCATGCAGTCCTGCCTCAGTTTCCCTTGCCTGTTAAGCACAACCCGAGGTTGTCTGTACGAAGCAGGCTGCCTTCCCACGAGCCATGCAGCAGGCTCGTAGATGCTTCTTGGTGTGATCCTAAAAAGAACAAAAGGGAGCGAGCATAAATGAAATTTATTGTTGGAAAATCTTAATTAGATTTGAAGCCCAAAGGGAGAAAAGTGAGGTATTATCTGACACAGCTAATGAGTGTTAAGGGTCCATTGTTATATTTCTTGTTTACCTTTCTGTGCTGGCTGATACGGCCCGGATCCTCGCCTGTTCTGCCATAATTAGGATATCTCATCTCTTGCTGATAGGGTTGGGGATGCTCTTTAAAGCACAATGCTCTCATCCCTCCCTAGCAGGGTGAGCGTGATCAGGAAGGCAACTTCTGGCATCCCAGCACTTGTGCCTGCCACATTGACCCTGCAAGCTGGGGGATGCCCTCCAGAGCATCCTGATAGCTTCCAGATGATGGGCATCTCCAACAGCCTTGGTGACCTCCTCAAAGGCCCCTGAGCCAAATTGCCTGGGGGCCAAATCCTGCTCAGTGCCTCTCTCCACACAGCATAGGAGGTGACTGTGTCCTCCACAAGTCACCCCAATGCTCCCCAATGAAGGGGAAGGACACCCATGGATACCCCATCCTACACCCTACTCTGTAATGTCAGTATCTCTGGAGCCTGGGCTTCAGGGATACATTCAGGGTTGGGATCTGCTGTGAACAGGACAGTCTCCTCTTGGGCAGAGGACATTCAGAATGGTCTTTTTGCACTGCTGCCTCATTAGGAGACGTATCACAGCTTTCCTTTGTGGCCTAGGAGGGTGAAAGTTGTCTCTCAGATCCCCTGATAACAGGACATCTTGTTGAAAGCCACCTGTACTCTAATGCTCCCCTAATCTCTCCTGAGGCACTTTAGGGATGGATGTTTAAGATGTTTCAGCTGTGACCACAGCCCTGAAGCAGCTTGAGCAGGTGGATACCTACTGTATAAATTATTCCAAGGTGGCTTAGTTAGAGACTTGCTGTATGGAGGTAAATGGCTGCTGGAAGGACCATCAGCTCCAGCCCTGAGCATTGTACCTGGCATTGGGCACCTCGACACCCAAGCGATGCAATTTGGTCCTCCAGAAGCAAAAAGGGAGCCTGTCCCACCATTGTAATCCATTGGGCTGGGGAAAAGCCTGGTCACCCATGTGGGAGCCGGGAACGTGGCATGTTGGGGTGTCTGTGTGTGGGCAAGTGGGCTGCAAAGTTTTTGGTCTTGATTCAAGGCACTGAAAGCCAGAAGTAAAATACCATCCATTGTTGGTTTATACACCCGTAGTAGCCAAACAAACATCCCTGGAGCCTGTCCTTATCGCTTTATTACACCTGCTAGAGTGAATAGATTAAAGAGGATGGGGAGGGGGGAGAAAGCAGAAGAATCCAGCAGAAAAACTGGGGTTTGGGATTGTTAATTATTCTCTGGGGTCTCTAATCTTTAACTGGCAAACAGCATCACTAACTGTCTTAAAGCCCCTCCTGGAACATCCTGATAATAAGCCATCTGCATGAAGGCACCCCGTTATCTGCCCTCCTCCAGCCGCCTGTGACATGGCTGGACTGGGAGATAATGAATGTGTGGTGTGTAATAACGACACGTCATTCATGATTATCGGCCTGATACCCAACCTTTTAGCTCCATTGTTTGTGCTTCAAAAAAAGGAGAAAAAGAGAAAATAATAAAGGAGGAGGGAAAGAAGAAAAAAAGGGGAATTTTTGGTGCTATGGGCTGTCCCGGGGTCCCCGAAGTGTCTCCCTGCCAAAGGGGCTGGCTCTCGAAGCATCTCCCAAAGGGCTTGGTGGTACCTAGGAAGGACTCGCCTGTGGATTGGCGGCTGTTGTAACCATGGTGATGGAGGGAGAGAGCTGAGACAGCGTAGAAATGTCACTGCCTGGCAGAGAGACGTTTGGGGCAAATGGTGGGGTGATTAGATCTGTGTCACCGGGTGCTGCCCGGCTCCTTGTGCTGCTTTTGCTGCTCTCAAAGCAGTTTAGTGGCGGCTTGGCAGAGGAGGTTATCTTGTACACGATGCTGTCCAGAAACTGCCAGCATCTGAAGGCAGGGGGGATGTTTGGGTTGCCTGGTTTGACCTGGATAAGCTGAAAAGCAGAAGAATTTTCTCCTGGCTGCTGCTGCTGCATTATGGCTTCATGATGCTTCGGTGCCGCAAGATCTTCCCCCAAAGCTTTGGTCCTTCAAACTGCACATCTGGGTTAAGTGTGATTCTTAATGGGGAGAGACTTTAAAGTGTCTGGCTTAGGTTGACTCAATTATTGTCAGAACTGTTCAATAATGATTCATTTTCTTTTCCATAAAAAATGGTGGTAGTTTCTTCCCTCTTTCCCAAGCAGATTTCCCAGAGCAGTTTCCCTGGGGAAGGTCTCTGCTGGAAGTAGTTGGGGTTTGGCCATTCGTAACAGTCCGAACACTTTGGAAACCAAACAAGCAGCCTTGGTCATGGCAGCAAATAGGGTGATGGCCTCCAAGCACAGGGTTGGGAGGCCAAGCAGGGCACTGTACACATACAGGTATAGGCAGCAGCTGTGGGTCCTCATCAGCTCTAACTTTTCCTGCTCTGGCCTTATCCCATCATGCCCAAGCCAGAAGATGTTGTAGGGGCATCTTCAAGTGCTACCTAGCTTCCTTTGAACCCCATCACCAAGGAGACAGACTGGGATGAGCAGAGCTGCAAGGTGGCTTTCTTGTTCCTGGATGGGTGGCTGAAAGGTCTGACAAATAGGGCCAGTAATGAAAAGCTGCTATCAAAATGCTGCCTTCCAGTTGCTGTGCTGGAACCAGGGAGGCAGAGAACCTTTGATACCAGCCTGAGTCCGCCATCAGTGCAAGGATGATGGCATTGGCACCTACACAACCTAAATCCAGTCCCTTCCTGAGGGTGAAAAAGGGAGAAGAGGAACTCGGTCTCCAGCTGCCTTGCAAAATATATGCAGCCTGCACCTTGCTGGTTATTCACAGCATCCCTGTCCCATTAGGTACCTGTTAGCAAAAATGGAGGTCTGGATCCAGCCCTAGAAGGATTTTGTTTCTCAAACTGAGGTTGCAGCAGGCATTGGAAATGGGAGGGAGGGGACTGCAGGGGTTTATTCAGATGGGGACATGCTCAGGTTTGGCTGTCCTGGTCTGGCAGTCAGCAGAAGTGAGCTGCCTGGAGGAATGGACATGGTGTGGCTATGTGAGTGCTTGCAGTGATGCTGATGATGCTGTTGCCGTGGGCAGAAGCTGGACAGACAGCCTTATCTCTGTGGCATGGCATGTGTGCTGTCCTCCATGCCTCAGTTTCTCCTAACGCCTGCTGAGTGCCCAGCACTTGCAGTGTCAAGCTTTCCCTGTGCTATGGGCAGTATCACCTTCAAGCTGGGGACTGTGATGGAGCAGCCTCCTCTGCTGTGCGACGCAGCTGAGGAAGGGAATGAGGACCGGGACGTCCTCGGGGATGGGACCCACCAGCTGCCCTGCTGGGCTTGGCCGTGCTCCCTGCCAAGCCCAGGGGGTTTTGCCAGGGACGTGGGAGGACTCCGTGTTTTTCAGGGTCTCCCACTGCCACCTAGTGATCCATTTCACACCCTGGACCTGCAGCTCACCGAGATGGGTCTTCTTAGCCCCAGAGCCCATCTAAGGACAGTGGTGGGGTGAGGACCTATGGGGGTCCCTGCATCCCTAAAACAAGCCTGGTCTCAGGGCCAGCACCCACCTGCACCCCTTGGGCAGCTCACTCGTGTACCGAGCAGCCAGGTCTCAGCCTCTGCAGAAAAGGGCTTGAGACTCATGCTCCCTATTGGGACCTTTAGGGTTTTCTTGCAAGCTGAGTTTGTTCTTGCCACCAGCACTTGGAGGATGGTGACTTTGTTTTGCTGTGTTTGACCCCGGATCATTTCAGTCGTTTCCTTACCACAGAAATTCCTGGAGGCAGAGGTAAGGGCTTGGTGACCCATGGCATGGGAGGGGTGGAAGCAGGCTCCTTGGGCTCAGGAGGGGCAAACCCGCTGAAACAGCCTTTGTGGCTTGAGAAAACAATCGCAGGGCTGCACCCTCGGGCTCAGCCTTGCCTCTGGGCTGATGGGACTCATCCTGTACCCCGCTGGCCCTCCAAATGCAAAGCCAAAGAAAGCCACGCTTTGGGAGCATCTCCACAAGGCTGTATTCACGTTTCAGAGAGGAGAACAAGGCTGATCATGCTTTGTTTTCAGTGTGGAGGGCTGTTTCTCCAAGTTAGCTGGTGACACGTCCCTGTGCTGGGTCATGAGCACCCTCAGCTCAAGGAAGTTCAGCGCCAGGGCAGAAAACCCCATTGGCTTTTGTCTCCATAACGGCAGGCACAGTGCCAGCGCCGGCGCAGATTAGGGGGATGATGTGGAGGGTGATGCATGGGGATGCAGAGTGGCTGTAGGGAGGAGTTATCCTGCCCTGGCACTCTCAGGCTGGGGGTAGGGGAGGGATATTGTGCTGGGACAGTGTTCAGGCTTTAGACAGCCATACAAACCTTGCCAGTTTCATTGTCATGCCCAAGCAGGGAACTGGTAACAGTGCATATAGACATGAGGGTGACAGAGGTCCCGTCAGGCAGTCTGTGTGGAGATGAGCAGGACATGGAGGATGCCCATGGAGATGATGCTTGAGCCGTAGCTGTGCTGTGAAACTCACTTGGCAGTGCTATTCCTGGTGCAAGGAGGGGACCTAGACCTGCTGGGTTCAGGGTGTGTATGAAAGGGCTCACTGTGCCCTCCCTGGACAGCAGCAGGAGGTTAATGTGGGAGAGGTCTGAGGTGGCCAGGGTGAGTCTGGTTGGTGCCACCCTCTGGACGAAGGGTGGTCCTTGGGATAGGTCTTGACCCATGCTGTGGTGCCTCAGGGGATCAGTGGATCTTCTTCAGATGCACGTGGACCCCGCTGCTGGACCTGAGGATGATCTGTGGTGTCAGTGTGGGAGGGTTGGATGGGTCAGGGCAGAGCTCAAAGCGGAGCAGGGTCAGGGCCAGTGCCACCTTCATCTCGTTCATGGCAAACTGCTGCCCAATGCAGTTCCTGGGGAGAGGAGAACAAACGCTCTACTTGCTGCCTTCATCCCCAGCTGCCTCCGAGCTGGGCAGTGAGGAACCTCCAGTTGCTGCATAGATGATGGCACAGCTTATCTAGGAATCCCCTGATGCCATAACATAATGTACCTACCACTGTGGTGGGGTGGTGTTGTTTCAATGAGCATTGAAAAAATAAGTGAGATTGAGAAAGCTGGGGCCTACTTCACTGGAAAGGGCTGCATGGATCCAGCTAAAATCCTGGACACCTCAGGAAGATTATTTTTGGCTCTGTGAGTATCTTCTGCAAGTTACCGAGACTTCAGTATCCTGCATGTTGATACAGCATGGAAACCACAGACTTGGACACAGCTTGGCTTTGAGGCGCAGTGGGTGTTCATCTCTGAGCAAGGGAGCCTGTGTTCCCAATGCAGGCAACAGAAATATAAACACCTCTGAAAATCCACATGAGGAGTGTGTGAAATCCTATGGTGACCACAGAGCTTGGGGTGTAGGAAACACTCTGGAGCTGATGGAGCATGGTGGAGATCTGGTTACAGAAAGCCTGCTTGAGTTGGCCAAGCCAGCTTGGCTCAAGGGCACAGAGGGAGGATTAGCTTGAGGAGCTCCGCTCTGAGCTAGATCTACTATGTAAGGCAATACAAAGAAGAAAAGAGAGGAAGGGTCTCCCACCTGGATCCAGCAGAGAAAGGCAGGAAAGCGTGGGAATGCCTCTGTGCTGAGTTCTCTGGAGAAAACCTCAGGGGATCATAGACCTGTGGGAGCAACAAAGGCCGTGAGGTCAGGGTTTGGTTTGGTTTGGTTTGGTTTGGTATGAGCAGCACCAGGATCTCCCCCAGTCCCCACGGTAGGCTTGGACGTGGTTTCTGCTGTCCCTGGGGGGGAATGCAGCTCACAGGCATCTCCCTACAAAGCCACTGGGTGGATGAGAGTGGAGCGCTGCTGCCTGTGCCAGTTTTCCCCTTGGAGATATCCCAATCACCCTCTACAGTGCCCAAGATGCCTGAAGGTGTTTTCTCATCCATGGCAGCCATCATCAATTCAGACTTTCTCTGGTCCGGAGACAGCCGAACCTGACTCTCCAGGCAGCCACTGGACAGAGGCAGCTGTACACCTTCCTTTGAGTTTTCCAGCTCTTTCTTTCCCTGAATACTAAGATACCAGCTTTGAATCACACATTGCCTGGAGGGCTTGGGACCTGTCGTACACTAAAGTCTAAGGGACCTAAGTCTATCCAGGGCAGCAGAAAGTAATCTGAGTATCTCTGTGTCATCACACATGAAGATAGACTATTCAACCTGCTTTCCCCTCACTTTGTCTTGTTCAAAGCCTTTGGGTGTTTGGTAACTTCATTGCACTTTGCATTTGAATATGGAATGTCAGAATAGGAGGGGGAAAAAACACCCAAATGTGGCAGGGAGGCACAGGCTGCCTTGTTCAAGGGGAGAGGATGTTTGGGCTGAGATATTCTTGTTATTATAACAAAGGTGAAATACCTCGGGGTCCTCCCACACATCCCGGTTCCTGTGAATAGCGAATATGTTCAGTGCAACCTGGCAGCCTGGAAAAGAAAAGGCTTGTGACACCTCAGAGTGAAAACCCAAGAGAGGGGTTTGTGGGATGTTATCCCTCCTTGGGCTCTAGTGATGATGCCTCACTTGCTGCTGGCAGCAGCATGAAGGATGAATGAACCCAACAGACCTGCTGGCAAGCTGCGTCCATCAGGAAACGTGACAGGTTTATGTAGGAGTCGGGACACAGAAGGAACCGCTGGGAATAGGCGCAAGCTCTCTTTGATGCACATCGTGGCGTAAGTCATCTTCCCGAGGTCCTCCCTGAAAGCAAACCTGGGTCAGGCTGTGTTTGAGTGACAGCAATGGGGACAGCAGCAGCCACAGCCTGTGCTGAACACTGGGTGCGTTGGACTGCCACGTCTTCCTTCTCTTGTTGGGATTTCTCCCTCTCCTAGTCCTCCCTTGGCTGCTAGCATTGCTGCGTGAAAAGCAAAGTGTCCCAGTGTAGATGCAGTATAAGGTGGATGAAGTTTCATTCTTAGAATCATAGAATAGTTTGGATTGGAAGGAACATTTAAAGGTCATTTAGCCAAATGTGTCAAATGCACTACTCAGCTCCGTGTTGTCTGCAAACTTGCTGAAGGTGCACTCAAATACACACTATGTCATTGATGAATATATTAAACAGTACTGGTCCAGATACAGACCCCTGAGGGACACCACTCATCACTGATCTCCACCTGGACACTGAGCCATTGACCACTACCCTTTGGATGCTGCCATCCAATTGAGTCCTCATCCACCAAACAGTCCACCCATCAAATCTATATTTTTCATATAGAGAGAAGGATGTTGTGGGGTGACTGTGACAAAGTCCTTAAAGGATAAGTGAAAAGAATTTGAAATAAAGGAATAAGAAGTCCTAGCTCACCATTCAACAGTATCCCGGTCTCCCAAGATTCCCCGGATCTCCTCCCTGCACCGTTGCTGGTACTCTGGATATAATGACATGCAGTACAAGAGCCAGGAGATCCCACTGGCTGTGGTATCATGACCCTCAAACATGAATGTGTCCACCTCAGCCCGCAGGTCTTCATCAGATAGCCCAACTCCATTTGCATCCTAACAAAGAGGAGAGTACACCATCCTTAAGCACACATTAATTGGACTTTCTGATTTGGATTTAAAAATAACCCTGGATGATGATGAAGGGCCCAGTTTGGTGTCTTTTGTATCTCCCTGTACATCAGGAAGTAAGCTAGTAGAAAATACATCCGATATATGTGAGAACAGTCAGACCTGCTCGTTGCTGACTCTGCAGTCAACAGAGCTACAGAGCTGGGCTTTGGGGTGATACCAGTTCCCAGCCCTTCAGAAGGAAGGGCTCTACTGAGGTCTATTAAAGGCTCTATTTGTTCCTCTACCAAGGGTCCCTGTTAAGTTTTTCAGTTGGTATGTTTGGATGACTTTTGTTTCGGATTGAGAAGAAAAGAAAGCAGTGCCTCCAGCAAGCAGAGCGAGCGCACAGAGAACGTGTCTCCTTCCTGAACACCAAATGGCAGCTTCTGTCCAGATTATCTGAAGAGGTCTGCAAAGGTAAAACTACAGAAGGTAATAAATGAAATCACTTGAGAGGAGTACAGCCAAGCTGGACCCCTTGTAATGTTTCCAAAGGTCTCATTCTTCTGTGCTTTCTGACAGCTCACTTATGTGGAGCTATCAGTGTGCTCAATTAAAATGAACAAGAAAGGTGAAAGTCTGCCCAAGGTGTTTATGTTCTTCATCTTACACATCTGTGTTTCCTTCTCAAGTGGAGAAGCTGGGGCCAGCAATTCCAGCCAGGACTGGCCACCTCCCAGCTGGTGCATCCTCAGTGCCACACAGGTACGTTGTTTGGCATTTGATATGATTATTTCAAACATTCACCTTGGTACAAAGAAGAATGTCCAGAAAATCCAGGTGTTTCTTCTTCTGGATCTTGTCATATTCCTTCTCACTGGAGAACAACATCTTTCTTTCTTTTATTACCTTATCTGCACAGAGGAATGATCAGTTAGATGTGCCCTGCCCCTCCAGAGACCTCATGTACCTGTCTGCTTGGTCAGCAGTTTGGACCTTGTTTAATGTATAACCCTCTGGCCGGTGCATGCTGCAACCCCGCTCCGAGCAGCTCCAGATGGAAGTGGGGGCAAGGTTCAGCTAGGAAACCGGGCTGGGGAGAAGTGGGGAGAGATACCTAAATAGGGCTGGAGAGAAGCGAAGAGATACCTGTGTGGGTATGGGCCCGTTTGCAGGCATCCTGAAACTCCCGGCCTTTGCGAGTCAAGTTATAGAAGACATCCTTGTAAGAAAAATTCTGGATTCTGTTGCTCAGGAGGTAGCTCAGGTCATAAACAGCTCTGATATAATAGTCTGAGTTGCTGTAGGGAGATCAAGGTTAAAGCTGGTGTTAGCAGGCAGAGTGAGGAAACAGGAGCACTTGTTTTCACAGCATCTGGAAGTCGAAGCACTGACCTTTCAGTCTGGCAGTTGGCATTATAGCTGAAGGCACACTTCAAGATGCTGTCTAGTGTCATCAAGCTGACGTCTCGAAAGAGCTCCACTGACTTCCTGTCTGTGTTCTTCTTTTCCCATTTATCCTAGCGGTGGAGGCAGGGGTAAGGAAGGACAGACAACCATCTAGAATTAGGTCCTATTTTCCAATTCCTCTTCCCAGATCCACATTGTTAATTGCTTTCTTATCTGCCAGCTGAGGCCCTAGTTCAATGTATATTCTGTGAAATCTAATCAAACCCTTCTGTGCATTTCTTGTTCAAGGTTTACCATTACTGGGCTAGGAAAGGATGTTCTACCAGTGGCTGATTTCATTGGAAGGCAGAAGAAAGAAAGAAAGAATAAGTGGAAGGACCAGAGGGAGATGAGGAGAGCAATTTCAGAACTTCCAAACTAGGAGCCATTTAAACCCTGCCAGTCTCCCTTGGTCATTCCCAGACCTGACTATTTTCACTGGTGCACAGCTGAAAGGTAAAAGTGACAGGAGTGATGATTCTTACCAGCATCACTTTGACTGAGTCTGACATCAGGGTCACGTAAGTTTTCAGCACATCATAATGAAAAGCTGGGGTGAGCAGCTTCCGATGCTGGAACCATTTGGCTCCCTCCAAAATCAACAGTCCCTCCCCTGGGGAAACAGAAGCAAAGGTGCAATCAGCTCCTCCAGACATTGGTCACCGTGCTGGCAGCTTTACTACTGCTTTTGGGCAAGCACAGACTAATGTGCAGGATCTGGGAGAAGGGAGAGTTGGTGATGGAGCCTTTCTTCAGCCTCTGAGGCCGTTCACAGCAGCACTCCTTGGATGGAGATGAAGCATGCCCACTGCAACCAGCCATGCACACCCAAACTACCCTGAAACCAGGCCCATGATGGCAGAGGCACAGGACTTGTGCTCTCAGGTGGGTTTTCTGCCCTTGGTGTGTATCCCCCCAGTTATCTATGGTAGCATTCAGTCCCTGAGCAAACTGAAGTTTGGGGAGGTGATCTAAGGCAAAGCCGCCTGATGTGCTCCACAACTAGATGGGCACCACCAGTAGTAATGCTCACATTCAAACAAACCCTCTCATTTGCAAGCTCTGGTTTTTGAATGGAATGGAATAAAGGAAAAAAAAGAGAGAAGCTGCTGAAATGTGCAATGTGGCTGAAAGGGGTAATGGATAAAAGATGACTTACCAATCCAGGGAGTTAAGAATTTGTAGGGTACACTGGGCTTGTGTTCTGTAAGACAAAACAGACACCAGAACATTATGAATAGCTGATGAATTCAGCATAGCAAAAAAGAAAAATCAGGATAAATTTACACTGGAGTTTGTCCCCTAAATCGCAATGTAGAATCAGTCTAATTTAATTGTGTAAAATACTCTACCACTAGAGCAGAGTTTAAAAGAGCTCTTCTACAAATATGACCTCAGTGGACTTGAGAAAACCAGAGAAAGGTATAAGGAAAAATGTGTGTGGCAAAGAAATGGCCATGGCAAATCTCAAAGTTGAGAACAATGGAGGGAGTTACTGTTGATGCCCATGTATGTACCACTCACAGGCATCATGCTCCATAGAAAGGAGGAGAGGAGAAGGCTTAAGATGTCTTCTGAGAGCCATTTGCATACCAGCTCACCTGTTTTATTGGGTTTACTGGGAAGCACATCTACTGTGGTCATAGATGCCACAGAAGACAGTTAAGACCAGTGACGATGGAGACAGTGAACTGGGAGGAACAGGCAACTGGTCACTGTTTTGCACAAGAACACAAACTGCTCCATGAAACCTGGGGCAGGTTGGGAGCTTGAGAGGGGGAGAAAAAGGGGAACTGCAATATCCATGAAGGACGCCAGCAGAGGGGATGACTCCAGGCAACTTTTCCATTATTTTCTCAGTAACGAAGTGTCAAGGACATGGCTTCCCAAAACCAGATGTAGAGACTTACCCGTTTGGCTAACTATGACTTTGGCATAGTCAGGATGGTGGACTATTAGAGCAGGCAGGACTGGTCCAAACCACCTTGGAAAGGCATAGGGATATTTATCTCCCCATAACAATAGCTGGTTTAATATGTTTTCAGTAGTTATCTGCAATGACAATTAAGCAGGGACTGAATTCAGGTAGCGAAAGAGGGATGTGCCAGGGAGAGCAAAGTCTAAACTTGCCTTCTCATGGGAAGCACATACAAGATATCTTCTCCTGGAAATGGAGACAGAATAGGTGGACTTGAACAGGGGAGCTTTCTATACTGCAGATAGAGGAGACACTGGGCACTGCAAAGGGACTGTGCATAGGTGGCAAAGCTGACTGAGATGGCATGTCCCTGCAGCACCAGGCAGCCCCATGGAGAGTCCCTAGCTGGGGCCTGGCTGCAGCTGGGCTGTGTTAGGGTGGCCTGGTCTTGGTGTTGCTCTCAGGAGCTATGCTGGCATAGGCAATGCCAGGAGGACCAGTGCTGTTACATCTCTGTTCTCTAAGTTCAGCAGTGCAAGGTGGGCATGTAATGGGAGTGCAAAAGTATCTTCACTATAGAAGGCTGAAAATGGCTGCAATAAAATGCCTCTTCTTCAGTGGCTGTAGAGGGAAAGACTCTTACTGGTTGAAGGTTTAATGCAGAAGAGAGACATTTTATGGTTGCTTACATTTAAAAAACATCATGAAAACCCCAGAAATTGCCTAACTCCATGTTTAAGCACATGATTGAAAACAACGTGGCTCTGTTATTTACCAAATGGTGCCTATCTCATATCCAGGCACCCTTCTCTCCCTGCCCTGCAGAAGCCTTGGTGCTCCCTGGGCTGAGGTTCACCCCCCACCCAGTGCTTCCTCTTATCCTTATTGATACCTTGCCCAGATTTTGGAGCAAACCCACCCTGCCTGAGCCCAGCTCCCTCCTTACCAGGTGATTGTGGCCATAGAGCCAGTGTTTTGGGGGACCAGGGAATGCTTCCAGAGCTTTGATGAGTTTCTTCCTCTTCTGGTAGAATTGGACCACCTTCAGCAGCACAAAGACTACACCAAGCACCACAGACAGCTGCAGAACGACAGCAGAAGGTCTGGCTATGCTGTCCAGCAGAGATGCCATGCTGGACCTGTGTCTGGGATGCCTGACACTGCCTTCTCCTCTGTTCCTCCTGCTCCTGCACCTGATGGGGAGCTCAGTGCAGGAAAAAACCTCTCCCTCCTGCTCTGCTAGAGCTGAGCCTGATGAAGTGGTGCTGTCAGCAATTTATAGTGGCAGGAACACCATGGTAAACACTGTGTCAGTCTGGCCGATTGCCTGCTGCTCCCAACTCACCCTTTGACCTGCTTCCAGCAACCTGTGGACGGAGGCAGTTTGTTAACAACCAACCTGCACATATTCCCAACTTTCTTTGAAGTCCCATACACCGCAGGAGTGAGTGAAAGCACTCAGTTATCCATGCCCGTGGGGAAAAAGCCATAGGAGGAGCAAGGTGGGAGGTAGCTGGGCTCGGGTTCTAGCTGAGCTCCAAGATATCTTCAGCCAGTCGAGGTCTGGAAGCTGTTCATCTGCCTAGCTTAAGTGGGGAACAAATGGGCTACCTCTGCCCAACACATGGGCTGAATGGGTCCAGTGCCTTCTGCTGTAAAAGCAGTGCTCTGAGTGTCTGCAGCATCACACAACACTTTATATATAATCAAGAAAATGGACATAACATAAGGGACCATGGCACTGCTCTTCCAAGAGGGCCTACCATAGATAAGCCAGGAAACTAAACTGGTACCCAGAGGAATTAACATGGTCAAGATGTAATACAAGGAGAGGGCAATCAGAGCAGTAAAATAAGCTGCAGCAAGATTGAGAGCCGCTGTCTGGGGATAACCTAACTCCACAAACATGCCTGAAAGTTAGCAAAGTAACTTTTCCCTTAGCTGGCTTGTGGCCTATTCATTAATCAATGATTGCAAAGACAAAGTGTAGGTACAGATGGTACCATTTGTATTTCAGGCTTAGGGAGATTTAAAGTGTCTGGCTGCTACAAACCCACGTGAGGGATTGTCGATGCACTACTCATTGCCAGTTTGGGTGTAGCATGGGAAGGTGCTCACCTGCATAAGCTAGGCTGATCCTCTGCTCTTTAAGGGAGAGAAGAATCAATAGACTGCAGAAATGCTGAGGGCACTCCTCAGGAAGAAGTGCTGTGAAACTCCCTTTTCACCTAAATCTCTACATGCAACTTCTCCAAGCTCTCAACCCCTCTTGGGAGCTCACAGTAGAACCCACCATTTGGGACAGTTTTATTTCATGTGTGTGCAGATTCCCCTTTTGAAATGTGCATCCTAATTCATGACTCTTTGTTCTCTTCATGGGAGAGTAAATTATACACAGAGCAGGAGGACTCAACCTGACCCTCTGTCCAGCACAGGCACTGCAATGTTACCTATGGGTCCTTGAAAGGGAGAGGATTTGTCCTCCCTGCCACACAGCTAGAGGATGCTCAGTGCCATACAAAGACATCCTCTCAGCTGAATGGTTCACAGAGGGGTCCTATGAGTTTAGGTGGCTTCACCTTCATTGTCCTTTGGAGGGATGTGTGACGGTGCATCCCACTGCTTCTGTCTGCTCTTTGGGGTTCAGCTGTAGATTTTCTGGCTGAACATTGATACCCCTGCTGACATTAGCTGGCGTGGTACATGGTCTCTGTCGCATGCATCATCACCTGCTTCTCAGTGGTGATAAGATACATTGCAATGCTCAGGTATGATGAGTTGGGAGTGGCAGTTTCTAACAGTGGCCTCCAGCTCCATCAGTGACAAGGTTTCCAAAGCTTCTCATTCACTTCTGGGATTGCATTGTGAGGTTGGCATCCAGGGCACTTGGGCATGTCAGCTGGCTAACAGCTACCTCCTATTGTGCATCTAAATTTTGGGCTGAAGAGGGTTCTGTCCCTTGCTTCTGCATGCTGGTAGTAGAAGACTGCTCTAGAAACGCTCTTTTCTCTCGAAAACATCAACTCTATGATCTCCTCTTAGCCTGTTCCTGGGCTGCAAATACACCTCTGCTAGTCTGCCAATATGAAGACTATGTTTCTTCAGCATTTCCATAGAAACAGTGATTGCATGGGCTCCTCAGCTGTGATGAGTGACCCAGTCAACACTACAGCTGTCCACATGGAATTGGGCTTTTGTTAGCATGGCAGGAAGATCCATTGGAAAGAGCCAACGACAATGGCTGAAAATCTCTTATGTCTCCCCAGACTTGATGCTGTGGCTGCTTGAGCCCTGGCCTAGCACATTTTCATCTCCACCACGTGTCTGTCCCTTGAACTGGACCCACGTAACTTCCATTAAGATGGTGCCTCTGGTTCCTCAGGCCGGGAAGAAGAGGAAGGAGGAGTTGTATTCCCTGGCTGGCGTTTGTCATCCTGCTTTCTCCCCATCAGTTGCTGACATGCTTCGTCCTTTGTGCCAGAGCCTGGTAAGTCATTACAGACGCTTCCATTGACAGCTTAAAAGAACACACCGGCTCTCCTTGTGTTGCCTTGGAGAACATCCCTGGCAGGCACTGAAGAGCATTAGCTTTTCATACACTTGCCCATCTCCATGACGCTAATTGTATCTCGTTATGCTGAGCCAGCTGGATCCGTGCGAAAGTTCAGGGAATTAAAGGTTGCTCTTTAGGAGGCTGAAGGCTGCAGTCTGTCGGGTTGGGCATTTCTTAGAGAAGGCTTTAGCTGCAGTCAGGGCAAGAGGGACCCAATCTGTCATACCAACTTCACACTCCTTAGGAGGAGCACCTGACTCCATGCACCTCATGGCTATGGAAGGTGTAGGAGACACATCTACTACCTCTAGATCTATTTATGATCCTTCACCTGTCCTGCAGCACCACGATTAATGGGCTTCCCACCAGGAGAGGAGGCAGTGCAGGCTGGCTAGCTGGCCAGCTGGCTGGAATGAGTGTGGGTTGCAGTTTGGGAGGATGCTGATGATTCTTGCTTACCTGAGGAGTGGGAGAACGGTGAACATATGGAACAAGGAGCCACTTTTGGACTGTCCAAACCAGATTAGTGGCTCTGCAAGGTGCTTTCAAAATGTGAGGCTAAGCTAGATTGGGCAGGTGAAGAGTGTTAGAAGAGCAGTGTTACCTTGTGCTTTCTCTTGTTATCAAGTGAGGTCACAGAGTTTGGACAAGTCTACCGTGATGCTTGGGATTAACCTTGAATTTAGATTCAAGTGTTGTATCCTACGACAGACCCCACTCCCCATCCCCAGTGCTGCATGGACTCTGCCCCAAAGCTACACCAGGCCTTTTTCCTCTCAACCAGCTCTAAGACAGTGTTTGGGCTCTTTCACAGACCATCCTCTAGGAAACAGTCCCTAAACAACTTGACCCTTGTCCATGGATGGGAGGGACTGGAAGGAGGGCTCCATGAGACTGAGGACATTGGAAGGTGGGATTGCTGCTGTGGGTCCATCATGTGAAGACCTGTAGCATGCTTATAAATCCAGCAGTGTCATGTAGTTGGGTGCCTTACAAGGGCTACATAAGGAGAACAGAGTTGGAGTGTAAGACTAGTCAGGGCCAATGGAGCTCTTCTGGGGCACCTACCCTATTACCAGACCATCTGGTCTGGAACTGGGAAGCACCTTTCATCAGTCACCTATAAAACAACTCAGAAATGCCCTAAGACCCAGAGGTGGAGGGGTCAGGCCATTGGATTCTGGCTCTGTCTCAGATGAAACTTCTGTAACAACAGACAAATTCTCGCTAGTGACAAAGTCCCTGGACAATGGGTTTGACTGTGGGTTACTGAGCAGGGTGGGTTTGTACCCATCTGTCTCTTCGGTAGTTATTCAATAACCAGCAACAACTGTTGAGCATGGGGCCAAGGGGGCATGGGTTGTCTTGAAAATCTAATGAGATGTCAAGTGTTGAGCTAATAGGGAAGGAACATAGGGGATAGTGTGGATAAATCCACATTTATGGGGGTATGGAGCAAGAATCTGATCTTTGGGGATAGCAAAAGTGGGTGCCTAATCCAGCCTTCAGCCTCTGTGTTTTGTGTTTCACTGGTGGAGGGGATAGAAATGCCTTTCTCATGTATTTCAGAGGTTTCCTGGCAAGAGGGGCCATGAACATTCTGTCTGACACTTAGCACAGTCTGGGGAAGATAACTCAAGGGGTTTGCCAGGGCAGAAAGCATGGAATTCCTAAAGGAAAAGGGAAATGATCCTGAAGATCTCAGCATGAAAAAGCAGCTACAAGGGTCTCCTGATAGCCAGAGAGGTTGGCAGGGTGAGGAGAGGCTTGGCTTCACCTCCTGGACGTGTGGACCGGCTAAACTACGCTGGGTATGGAAGGGCATCTGCACGGTTGGCTCGATGTATGGATGTCCACATGATGGCAGTGTGTGCCATGACAGCCCAAGCCACAAGGGTGGAAACGGCCAGTTACACTGGAGAACTCCCATCCTGTACCACAACCAAGGACACATCAGGCGATGGAAATCACTTTCAGGGTCTTGGCAATTGCTCCGCTTACTTCAGATGCCTGAACACTGTTTTAACTCATCCTGTTGCCATTCATTGCAGAAGAACTGGTTTACTGAGCAGGTGAAATTTAGGTGGGAAATCAGAACTTTGCCCCAGAGCGTGACCTTGCAGCAGCTGCTTTCCCTGGTTGTGCCTGTGTTTGTTTGGGTAGGAAGAAGAGCCCAGGCCCATCTGTCCCTGTGTGTTCCTGCAGCGCTCAGTGCTGACAGATGAAATGTAGTTGTAAAGCCAAAAGAAATAATAACGTTTCAAGCTTCCAAACACATGATATATGAGGAAATCACGGCAAGAGCCCAGCCAGTGTTGCGGAGTAATGCGAGCGGCCTGGATCCAATCTGACTACACAGTGGTGTAGTCAGATGGGATCCATGGATGGATGGATAAATTCATCAATGGATGAATTTATATCTGGAAGCATTTTATACAGCTGTCTTACAAACATGTTGCAATACTTCATTTACAGGCTGCTGCCAGTGTAAAACCCCAGTGGGGTTTAGAGGGAAATCGCTGGTACCATCTCAGCATGGGTTTGCCTGGAGAGTGGTGTGGGTCCTGTGCCCTGCAGAG